GACTAGAAATACTGCTTTAGGTGGAGGGTTCTTTGCACCACATGGCTGCTATACTTATGACCATAAAGTGTTCAAACTGGGGAAAGAGCACAGGTTTTTGAGTCAGAAACATCTGTTATAAACCAACCTCTGTCCCTTACTACTCAGTCACTTTACTCTTTGGCAAGGTATAATCTGATTCTCCAATTCTTCTTCTGTGAAATAGGAATAACAACTTCCTCACAGAGTGGGTGTGTGACTGTTGTTGGTTGCATTAACTAATACATGGAAATTGTTTATTACAGAGTAGATAATCAACAGCTATTACTTTACACATAAGTTTTTGAAATATCTGTAGCTTATTAAATTACTTAAAACATTTATCATAATAATTTTCATTTTTCCCATCTCACTTCTTATTTAGAACATAATGAACAAAAGGCCCAAGATTGTCCATATATAAGATTGTTCAAAACATCTAGCTGGGTTTATGTAAATACACACACACACACACACACACACACACACACACAAACTTGAATGCTATTGGTTAGAATGCATTCTTACATATTTTCCTGTAAGACACCTTGTCTGTAGAATTTGAGTCCTTTAAAAAAAAAACAAAACTTCTTTCTCTCTCATTCCTGTTATCTCATAGGTTCTATACTGTGGATTCTTCCATCCCTTACATTTTATCCCATGGCCACCACACTAGTTATGATGTATTCATCACCTCAGGCAGGAACTACAAAGCTAATTCCTTTACTGTCCTTCTTTTCTCTCTTCCAGTTTAACACTAACTATACACCACCACCTAATTCATTATGTCATTCCTCTATTTAAGCAATTCCACTGGCTTCCCAGTAATCACAGGGAAAAAAAATGTTCAAACTTCTCTGCCTAGTGATCTGTCTTCAGGACCCATGCAATCTTACTTCCCACAAATTCTCAGCATGTTTCCATTTGGCTTGCTTTATTGTTCCCTAATTTTTCCCTTTGAGGCTTGCTCCTGTTGTTTTGCCCATTGCATTACTTTGCCCACTTTCTTTGCCTATTCAAATCCTATCATCCTTCAATGGCCAGTCAGCTTAAATAATTACATTTAGTTCAAGGCTTTTCTTCTCAGTTCTGCACACAATGATCTCCTTTCTCTGATCTGCTATAGCACAAACTGTTTTTGTAACTCATTGTGGCTTTTACATATTGCTTTGCTTTTCATACACTACCCCTGCATACAAGGCAGGGGCTCCCCAATCCCTTTCAACTTTGTATTTTCTGCAGCTGCCCAGGGCAGTTAATTTTGGTCCAGGAGCTCCATCAACCCCATTTATACAGAACTGACACAAAATATACACTTCTCATTCTTGTTACAGACTTCCCATCAAATCCCCTCCATATACCTTATGCTTTCTATGGAGCTTTTCTCACCTTCAACCTACTTTAACACATTTCCTGACCTTCAGTCTGTGAACAAATTTATCTTTAAAATTCTAAACTAGGGCTGGGGCTGTAGTTCAATAGTTCAGTGCATGTGCACAAAGCTCTAGTTCAATCTTGAGTAAGACACACACAAAGCGCGTGTGCGCGTGGAGGCATGCACTGACACTTCTAAACTTTTCTTCCATTTTCCTTTACCTCCCTGACCTAAGTAAAATCTAGCTCTTTCTTGAACTCATTCATTCCTTGGTACCATATCCCAGAGAGAAGCTACCTGTTCCTGTTTGCCTAATAAAATGCTGAAGTAAACAATCAAATTTGTCCTCATTTGACACTCATTTCTGCTCTTCCTTTGTGCATTTTCTCCTTGTCCATTCCCTATTTTTTAAAAATATCTGTATTACATCAGCAACTAATGCATAATACTATATTCTTCTCTCGAATCTGTCAATGTCAGTGAATTTAATATTCTTATCACCTGCCCTTCATACCCAAACTACTTCAACAATTAATCCCTACCCTCACCTCCTATCCCATGATAGGGATAGAACTCGGGACCTTATGCATGTTAGGCAAATGCTCTACCACTGAGCTACATCCCCAGCTCTCAAGTTCTTTATTCTCTTTGACTCTATGGACTTGTATCTTCTCTCCACCACAGACAGGCCAAATCTCAAATACTAATATTCCTCTGAGGGCTTTATCTTGAGCCTATTGAGCATCTCTAACTAGAAGCACTTACAATACTATTTCTTCATTCATTTAATCTGTGCCTTTCACCAGTCCTTTTCAAATGTTGCCCCTTTAAGTAGACATGGGAAGGGAACTGTAGTTAAAAAAAAAAAAAAAAAAAGATTCCTAGCCCATGAAGCTTCAGTACATACAGCATCAATTTTTCAAACTTAGCTATATCAAGGAATTAAAAAAAAGAGAGAGAGAGAGATGCCCAAGCTCCATTCCAGAAATCCTGTAAAGAATCTGCATTTGTGCTTGGATAATGATGACTTTAAAAATTTCCCAGGTGATTCCACTGTGTGTGAAGAGTTGAAATTTGGCATACTACGGTCAGATATGAGAATCAAAACCTTAATATGCCACCAAAGTAACTGAGGTCAGTCAGGCTGAGACCATTGTGTTAGGAGTCTTCTGGTTAGAACGGACTTCCTTCACACAAATGTGGTTTTAGGATCTATCACTTGTGGGATGCCTTTTCCAGCATTCTCTCTCTCACCCCTGTATCTTTCCTTAAGCCTCTAGAATACAGCATAAAACCCTTCAACTTTAACTGTCACTCTGAATTGTTTCCACAATCTCATTAATGTGACACAATGAATTTTTTTTGAAAAATTTACTATTTTAGGGCCACTAGAATTGAAATCAGAGCTGTTAACCCAGAGCAAAAATGAAGAATCACTTAAACGGCTCAAAGACAAATTATTGATGGCAATTAGGTTCTTAAACCTCCAGGAGCTCTATTTAATCCAGAGAAGCCTGAACAACAATTGAACAGCCCACAATATATCTTTCCTTATATACCCTGCACCATCAGGACCTCCCAACTCCACTCATAAGCTCAGCCCTCATCCCTGTTTTTCTGGCTTTCTTGCCCTTTAGAAGAAGTGAGGACTAGGGCCTGGGATTTAGCTCAGTGGTTTCGCTGGCACAAGGACCCAAGTTTGATCCCTGGTATCAAAGAAAAAAAAAAAAGACATATTTTTTTGACTTGTATTTTCACTGCTATAGGTAAGAAATCCAGCTTTGAAAACGTCTTTGTCAAATACACATAACTTTTCCCTTTTTTAAACTATCATTTAAAACAATGGCACCAATGCTGAAAGACCTTATAAAGTACCCCCAAACTGGCTTTAGAATCTCCAGTTTTTCTATTCATCTTTATCCTCTTCTATTCCAATGTTTGTCTTTTCAAAGTTTAATTCATGATTTAAAAAATGTTTGTCTCTATTCTTTTTTTTTTTTTTTTTTTTTGGTACCAGAGATCGAACTCAGGTCCTTGCACTTGCGTAGCAGGCAGCGAAACCACTGAGCTAAATCCCCGGCCCTGTCTCTATTCTTTTTAATCAGTAGTACAATTTACAATTTCAAAGGCCTATAAATTCTTAAAACAGAAATGTTTTCTCAACTCATTTGGTGGCAAAAACATGAAACTGACCTAAACTGACATGAGGCTACTAAGACTGAGTTTATGTAGTGTGAATACACACACATTTTCCTGCAGTTTTTAATATGCTTGATATAGGTAACTGCCTGTAACCTCACTGTGGGTATTATATATGGTATAGGTACTGAATTACATTCCAAAAAATCTGAAATTCCAAAGCCCTGTGGGTTTCAGACAACAAACATTAGACCTGCCTACACACTGTATAAAGTTCTACAAAATTTTATTCCAGATCTTCAATTTCAGTTGCACTGAGATAAATAGGTTTTCAGGAAGGTGTTTGCTTCAGAAACTAAACTCATTCATGTAACTGTCTCTATAAGCATATGTATTTATGGTTTTAAACCACCCGAGAAATACTGTGGAGTTAACATAAAGAGGTTGGTTTCACAATTTCTAGTTATACAGCTCTTAGACATTCTTGAAAAACCTACCAAGTAAAATGATATTCCAATACTAATAAAGAAAAATGAGTTATTTTAGTAAGTTCTTAGTCATTTAAGAGGAAGGTTTTAAGAAACTAATTACAACTAGGAATAAAAAAAGTATGATGTTCACTAAACTTTTACTATTTTGTTGTGCAGAGCTACATGACAAGTCATCATCTTTAAATATATCAAAGCAAAATTTCAAAAAGAATTTAAATATGTCAAACATAAATTTCAAAATCAGAGGTTAATTTTGTATTAAAAGTAACTAAAGTCACAATCACCAGTACAAATAGGAAAAACGGAGGGAGGGAGCCGTCCCATGACATCATCTGGCAATATGCAGTTTGAAGGCTAAGAGCGATCTCCAAATAACCCTTCCGAAAATCCAAGGAAATCATCCCTGTTAAGCTTGGAAAACTTGAGTTTAAATAAAAGGTTGGAAAAGCGCCCCCCCCCCCGTCACATGTCTGTAACATATGAAAAAACCATCACGGATGCATCAACCTCCTACTCCCACAACAGCAATGGAAAGGTCACAATTAAGTGGAAACTCGCCGCAGAGCCTGTTCAATCTGGACGGGGGAAGGGAAAGAAAAGCGAAGGAGCGAGATCCCCGCGCCTCCAAGCATGCTCCAGGGAAAACCGGGTCTCGCTTGCCTGCATTGGTGCTCATCCGACAGATAACATAGACTCCAAGATGCAGGTCACTCCCTTAAGAGAAAGTGAGGGTCCATGACCAGAAAAACAACCCGAAAGGTCCAAAGGAACCAGTCACCCCAGCGTTTCCCGAGCCGGGAAGGTGCAGCTCCGAAGGGCCGTCCACGAAGCACAACCCTATCGCTGTGGCCGAGGGCAGAGCTCGGATGCCTCGCCTGGCGCAGCACCCGGTCCCGGCCGGCGACACGGCCTCGGCGCCCAACACCAGGGTTCCCTCCCGACCCCGCCGTCGGGGCGCCCGCGCGGCCCGTGCTTACCGCCGTCGCGCCGGCGCTGGCGGACACGATGGGCGGCAGCTTCTCACGCTCCGGCTCCTTCGGCTTCCTCTCTTCAGGGGCGGCCGCCGCCACCGCCGGCGGCGCGGCGGGCGAGGGCTCCCGACCCGCCTCACTCATGTCGAGCCGGGCGACGGGAGCGCAAGGCGGTGGCGGCGGCGGCGGCCTGACTGCAGCTGAGGCTGGCGCTGCAGCAGCCGCGGCCGCGAGAGGGCTCTGCGGCCTCTGGGATGCTGCTTCCAACCGCCGCCGCTCCGCCTCCGCCTTCGCGCGAGCCCGCCTCGCCCCGCCCTGCCGCGCCCCGCCCCGTCCCTTCC